CCTTTTGGAACGATGCTTGCGTGGGGCGACACAGAACCGCAACGAGTGCTTTAATGGCTTGGTGTGGCAGATGTGCCCCAAGACCGGCTTCTGTTCTGCCAGGATCGTGCAAATGGCTATTGCCCTTGCTGCTGCATGGTTCAATGACGGCCCAGCGTCCATCTCAGCGTTGCTGACGGAAATGGGACTCCCCGTTGGCAGTTGCACGGCGTCAGCACTGGGTCAACTCCAGCTTGACAGACAGAAGCATGCAGCAAGGAAGAGGTCTGCAGAGGTCAAGAGGAGGAGGAAGAGGCGAAGAAGAGTTCGCAAAGGTATCCAGGAAGAGGAAGTAGCTCAAGAAGGTGTCTCATACGAAGCTGGTGGCTTCTAGGTATGTGCTGTGACACGGGATCTTGTTGCTGCGGACCCAATGTGAAGTCCCTTTTTTGACCATTTTTCCATGACTGTGCTGGCTCTTAACCAGGCTGTGGCCTCTCCTGTAGCTGGTACACCCATAAAAGTATATATTTTCTGTTTCTGTATGGTGTAGGCTAGACATTGAACCAAAGCTTACCTGCCTAGCAGGTCACATAACCATTATTGGTGTTCTGAAATATTGACGAATGTTTACGCGAAATCAGTATTTTCGCTGTAACGAAGCTATCTGAGTGGGAGATTTGCATATTTTGCTAATCTTTGGTTCAATGTCTTCATTTATGTTTCTATTAGCCTGCCAAGTAGACATTTTGGTCATCTTATACATCAGTTTTTCAGCACTCTGGTTAAGAGTGAAGTATACGGGCATTTTTGAATTTTCAAGCTATGCTGCCATTGTTCATGCCGAAGGGTGTGCACATGGACCAGATATCCATAGAGAACTTGTGTAGAAAATTTGAAGTAATTATCTCTACCCAATCCAAAATTACGGATGTCAACGTGCCGTACGCCCACGAAGGCAGAGTGCCACCTTTTAACCTCGTGATCCTCTTTCCTATGCATGCATGTTGCCAATTGTTGTTGCACTACGAGTTTAGTGTTGAAAGCAGCATTTCAAGTGTTGTGATTATTGTGAGGTTTTGTGTGAAATTTGAATTTTCAGCTATCACATTTCGTTAATTCTTACTTTTTAGACGGGGTCCATGGACTAGAACACAATAACTTTTTTTAGAAAACTGCCATAAAGCAGTTTTTATTGCTATAATGTATGAATGAGCATGCAAGAGAATGTACAAGTGTGCGTTGTACTGAATAGGGTACATTTTTTGAATGAGTATAGTCAAATATACGGTTAAAAAAGAGTCCGCAGGATTGCCGTGGCTTATAGGTTATAACCGGTTAACCGACCGTTAGCTTAGCAGTTAACCGTCAGGGGTAAAACCGTGACCGTTTGAGCCCTATTAATAAAAACCGAGGTCACCCGAGGTTTTTATAATTAGTTTTTATTGGTCATAAACCCAAGGCCGGAGCATTTATTGTATTTAGAATCAACCAGTAAAAACTCCTACTCAATCTCCAACAACAAAATTAGTGGACAGCTGTTATTTGTGTTGCTATGACAACTCGTGTGCTGGACGAGTATATGTTGTCATTGGTTCAATTTATTTTACTCTTGATAGGCTATCAGATCATTTTCCTTATTCGGTCTATTTATAACCAGTATCTATAATGAGAGTGTGCTCTGTCTCCATGGTTACCGGTGTTCATTTCATAACTATAGCCACTTCTCCTTGTTAGACTTTATCTGGAAGGCCCATTCTTGCATATTCCAACAGCAGCCAAGGGCAAGGGATCCATAGGAGCTAGCTCTCTTGGTTATGCGGACTGGGTCCGGTCCTAAAAAGCTGTTTTTTATGAACTGTTTTTATGAACTGTTTTTATTGGATAGGATATGATTATACGAGGTTTTTGTCAATGGCCATATGGGCTTATGGGAGATTCACTTGGAGTTTTACGAGTAGATCTACGAGTTGATTCTAGGGTGCGTTCTTATATTCTCTAGCTTCTAGAAGAAGAAGAAAAGTGAAGTCGAAGAAACTGGGATTTCTCAAGAACGGGTCTCGAAGAATTCGGAGATATTTTGCACATGTCAAGCAAAATGAAGCGTCAAAGGGGCCGCGATCTTGAGTGATGAATGTATGTGCGTATGCGAAAAGGGAAATGCGTACACTCATGATGAACACGTGGCCTTTAGTCGTAGTTCGCATGCGCTGATCCCAAAATGCGGGAATCTCCAAGTTTCAACCACCTCTGAAGCTTGGACTTGGAGAACTTGGAGAGCCTCCTAAAAGTCGGAGAGGATATAAGAACAGCTCTCGAACTTTTCGGAGAGTCTCCAACTAACTTTACCGAGAGGATTTAAGAACGCACCCTTAATACCGAGAAGTGATTGTACGAAAAATAATGCCTTTCGGAGTGGAAAAATGGGACGCGATCATGCACATGTGCACAATCGAGTAAATAGCCTGACCATGACTTCGCAGCGCGTGCTCGAGTCGAGACAAGATTTGAGGAAAAAGCTCAGCCACTACTGGCACTAGTGGACTTGCGGATTTGTTTTGACATTAGCGGTTTTTGGATAGCTCGGTTTTCCTGCCGACGTGTCGTGGAGATGAAGACGCGGGAGAGTAATCCGTCACCCACGTTCCACGTCACCCACGTTCCTGACGATATAATCAAGCGTCCGGCTGACATAACATAGTGGAAGCTTTCCTCAGGACTGGCATTATGGAGCAATAGTGGCATAAAACTAGCATTGTGTGTTTGTGACTCCGATTTTTTCAGCATTTTCTGTGCCATGTAAATTAGGCATTGGCGGATAATGCTCGAAAAGGTGGCAGATTCTGCTCGAAAAGCAGTGGCAGAACCATACCTTATGGCGGGCAATTCCTCGAATTCTGCTCCATTTCTTTATCCACATACCAAACAATCAAACATGCATGAAACTTACCAGAAAAAGTACCGAATTCTGCCAATTTTTCTGCCGGCATTATCCGCATATGCCTAGCCATGTTAGTAATTGTTACCCATGTACGAAAAACTACACAAAGTGCATATAAGCCTCCTGGCTGTCCAAACCAAGTGGTTTTTACATGCTTGCTGCTGGTGACTTGCTGGCATGGAGCAACAGCAGCATTTATAGCTAGTAAGTTACTATTTATAGAATTATCCACCCAGGCCTGCCTGCCAGACGGACCGGCCACGTTTAGTAAAAAAATAGGCGGTGCATGTATGTAGAATGCGTAAACCATCTTGGTTACATGTACTCAGTACTTGATCACGAGTCAGCGCACTCTTTCCCCGGCCGTGTAGACCTACAGGCTTACACGGAGGCCGTGGACCATGATAGACGAACAGTCAGTTCAACGCGAGCTAAATGCCCTCGTAATCTGAGCCGATATAAACCGCTAAACTGTCGGGATAAGCATCGATATGTGCCCGTGCGCAGTTATCATGTTGATTGCAATATTATTGGTGGTGTCTGTTGAATCGAGTTGCGAAAGCGAAAGACGAAACCCCCGCAGGCGCCAGTGCAGCAGCAGCAAGCCCATCGGACATCAACCATGCCATGGTCAGCTGCATGCGCCTCGACTCGTACAGACAATCATCGACCATCATGTCAAAACGAAAAGCAAATGCATAGAATCTACTCACAGTGTACGTAGACTTGTACTTTAGTTGTACTTGTAGTACTTTACTGAAGCGTGGTGACTGGTACCATGGACATGGTGCAGATGCTACAGACTCAGTACAACAAGAGATGATCGTCAGTGATTATGATTGTCATGTCGACAAAGCCCATTACTACTAGGCATTTTAGTGAGGTTTTGCATTCCGAATTTCGGTACAGCGTTCTTCGGTCATTTGTCGAACATCAAAATGTCGAATTTTCGCACCAACGTTTGTTTTGCAAGTCGAAAATGATGTGTTTTCATTTCGTGAGCCCCAGCATCAGCAACGTCCTGTCCCGTGCGCCTTTTCTTGCTGATTCCAACGAACTTTGATCGCCCAAAGAGTCGAGGGCCAAACCTGCCTCCTCAGTCGCCTCAGAAAAACCAACTCCATAGCCAAGTCAAATTTTATGCGCGTCGCCATAGTCTTTTCAGCCACACAGATGACGGTGAGGACACTCCAGGCGAAAGAGAGTCGACAGGCAGTGGAGAGGAGCAATCAGAGGTAGCTGACGATGCTATGTCGCCAAAGACGCCTGCCAAGCGATGCCGAGATAAGAAACCTCTTTGAATAAATCACGCGCTAGCGCTCTTCTACAAGAAAATGCATCCGAAAAATATTTTCGGCAAAGTGAGCTTTTTCCGAACAAACACTCCGAATCTTCGTGTGCATTTTCGACCTCGCTCCCGCGTGCCGAATCTTTTTGCCGAATTTCGGAATGCAAAACCTCACTATTATTACGGTATACTACTACAGTACTAGTCTTCCCGCCCTAGCGCCTGCCCTTGGGCTTGGCTCACCAAGTACATGTACCAGCGAAGTGCGAACGAAACTGTTACTGTATAATTATTACTTTCGCTACCAGTACCAGTACTGCAGTAGGTAGACTGTACCAGGATATAGGACGGGGACGGAGAGTGGGAATACCCCTTATGGCCCTATGCCTATGGTCATGATCTGTGTGAGTGAACATGGTGAAAGGAGCAAGAAGTTTCGATCCCCCTGGCCCTTTCGGCGCGGCGGGAATCGCTGTCTCAGTGTCTGTCAACTCTTACTGCATCACATGTAGTAGGAATACCATGCTGCGATGCAGGCCAATGCGCTAGCCTCACTACGAGTACCAGTAGACCTACGGCTACGACTCAGTACAGTCTGTAGTCTGGATGGACAAGGCCGTGCCGCGATCCGGCCTTTTGCAAGTCGGTAGCGGTATGGCGCCCACGGCGTAGAGTCTACGCGCGGCGAGATTTCTGACCATCCTCCATTCATTGTTCCTATCTTGCCTTGGATCTGGCCGAAGGCATATACCAGTTTGCTCATTGTGAATGCATGTGCAGTTGACCAATCTTTGTGCTGAAGTAATAGTTCTTTCGTCCCTTCACGATCTCTTTGCCATCGTCGTTGATCAAGTAAGGTTTTCCGTTTGGTTCCGAGTTGTTCACACGGTGCACAAACTCGAAGCTCGGTGCTATCACCTGGCGTAGACTCTACGGCCTGTGCTCCCTGCATGCTGGCGATTTAGTCCGGCCGGCGGAAACATTCCCATACGGGCCATAGGATATTGGGTAAGTCACGAAAATGGGAGTTAACGTGGCCTCGATGCTTATCCAGGCGGTATCCTTGGTGTTTGCGTGGAAGACTGCATTGGCCGTGTTCAGTGGTGTTACCTTGCTATGCCTTCTTCCACTGGGAGCATTCTGTTGCTAGTGTTGTACTACAGTAACTAATACTTACACTTCTAATACGTTGGTTTTATTGCGTTAAAAAAAACATAACAGCTTCATTCGATCGTGTGCTCAGTAGAATCTTCATGGGGCAACCACTTGTTTTCGTATTGGTTCTACTGTTGAATCAACATTATTTTGTGAATGTCGACAGTCGACTAGTCCTGGTATAGCTTGTGCATGCTAGATGTTAGCTAAAGCAAGGGTTACGTTCTCTTGCATGCTGTGAGTGTGAGTCATCGCTTCGGAGCAATATTCCTCTTTTTTTATGTACAGTCTTGGTAAGTACCGCGAATCCGTTTCGGCATGGCAGTTCTTTCCGCAAAGAAGTACAATTATGTTCCATGTGTACTGACGCAGTAGTCCGATTTGCGTGAACGTACTACCAAGCGACCAAGCTGCAGCGCAAGTTTGCATTTGCTGTAGCACTCGACCAAAACACTTGGCTTTCCCTCAGCCAGGGTCGTGGAAGGATTTCACCCATTCATGATTGAAGTAACTTAGTTTCGAAACCTGGTGAGCCCTGACTCGAGTGAGAGCCCTCACGCGATCACGGCTCACAATCCATCGAAACCCGAAAGCCAGCTCCCAAACAGAGGTACCGACTACCGGTGCTAGCTGGAGATCTACAACAGACTGTCATGTCAGTTACTACTGCGAGTACCGGTGCGAGTCATCGTCGTAACTGTCCGGGCTTGTGGTCCTAAATGTATCACCAAACTGACCAGGTTCTACAGTTGTGTAGATCTCCTTGTTACCGGTATGACCCGTATCCGTATCTTGCGGACCACAGAGTTTGTCTGTACTTGTGGCGGTCTTGTGCATCTTGGTCCGGACCGTCGAAGCTGTAGGAAGAAATCGATCTGTGCGACCCAAACTGCCAAAGTAAAGTACTAGTAGTAGTACTGTAATATTAGCTGACCGTCGGTTCGTTCGATACTGATCGCACAACGATCGTACGAGGGAGAGCATTTCTTTCATACTGCAGGATCATACTTGTACAACAAAATGTAGAAGCGCAACAGTCAGGCACTGATGAGAGAGAGAGCTACTGCACTGAAGAAGCTCGGCTCTCCACACCACACCGCGGCTGATCTCGGATCCTGTAACGCTCACCGTACATGATACCGCCACGTGGGGGTTCAAAAATGAAACTCTGGCACGCCGGATTACCGCGTTGACCATGTGGCAAAAGAAGTTCGACTTCGTGTCAGTTCGTGAACGAGGAAACAAATCAAAGTGCTGTCGTGCTTGTAGGCTGAGTGAGGGTAGATAATCTAAAAACAACAAGTCATGATTGTAGTTTCGTGGCAGACGGAATCACGTCCAACAGCAAGTAACGTCGGGTTCCAGTTTTCGCTCTCTGCTTGAGCACAACTTCGAAGTAAGAAGGTGGGTAGCCGTGTATGAACATGATTGTAGAACTATTCAGTTCAAGTGTGAGCAGCGCCAGGCCAGTTCAGCCAGCGGAAATCGCCCCTGTTATTATGATTATCTGACTGGTTTGGGAATACAGTCATGCTGTTGGGACTCCCCTACTGGGCCCTAGTCAAATAATAAATACTACTATGCATATCAGTATTGAAGCCTCCCATAAAAATATTTTTAATACCGATTTTTCAAAGTGAAATTTGTTATCTGGTAATTCATCCCCCCTCCCCGAAATGGACATGGTATAATAACATGTCTTTTTTTCCTTGTATGCTGACCTGTATTGTCGATATTTGTTCACATTTTGACGAACCTCGACAGTCTCGGAACGGGTGAGCTTTTCGGGAAGGGGGGGGGGGGGGGGGGGTCTCTTGTACGATTTAAACGATGCACAGCGCCACATCAGTTGCGATGTGCAACATCGATCGGCGCGTGTCTTAAAGCACAGCCCGTCAACGGCTGAAGGTCAGTAATTTCCTATTTTTCGGGGCTTTGCGCTTCCAGTTTTCTGCGCAAATGACATGGAATAATGCTTGCACTACTTGAAGTTCGCCATGAAGATCAAGAACGTGATCAAGGACTTTCTGCCTTTCCAGTAGCAGAGACAGAAAGTAACACACAGGTCGACATAAACACACGCACATAATTCATGTAGAAATGAAAACGTGAAACAGCCAAATTCAACTCATCCATCGCTTCCCCACAGTTCATACAACAATGTACTCATTATTAATTTTATTTATGGATGCCCCTTATCTAGTGAAGTACAGCCTGCACGGCCTCTGTTCTAACATTGACCTAAAACTTCACCCTAAACTGTAGCTAAGGGCCGGGTTTAGGGCCCGGCGTAATATGCCCGAAACTTCGCCGAAAATGCTTTTGGGAAATTCTCGTAAACCTTGCCGAAAATGCTCGGAAAATGCTCACTTTTTTGTAATCCTTAGCACACGCTGTCAAAAGCAGGGAGTCAGAAAATACTGGTATTTTACGACTCCCTGGTCAAAACCATATTTTCAATTCATAAACTACTCAACAAGAAGCTAAGCCACGGAATGCGGAAGTGACGTTCTTGTTTGGGAAGTTTTTCTTCTCTTATTTTTGATACACAACGGCCAAGTGCTCCGTTTCCCCCAAAATGCTGCATCACGGGCCCAAAGTGCTGGGTTCGCGGATTGTACCGAAAATGCTCAAAAAATGCCGGCGTATTACGCGGGGGCCTAGCCGGGTTCCACTGCGGCTTCGCTGCTCGTCTTTTGCGGCTTGAAACGTCATCATTACCATAGTGACCGCGGCTTGAACTGGAGCAGCGAGGCCGCGGCTCACCGCTAGCTTTCGCTACGATTCTTGATCAAAAACTGCGAGCCGCGATCGCGGCTCGACCTGTTTCCCGTACTTTGCATTGTTTTGTACGCGAGAATTTTAAAATTCAAATTTTAATGCGTTGCGCAGGCCAGATGACGAGGATTTTTTGATTTCGCGCGGGTAGGCAGGTGAACGTCATAAAAAAAAGTGGAGCACAACCGCGGTACCGCGAATGGCGAGTGTCAGTGGAACCGCGCTGCTCCGCTGCATGCAGCCAAGTGCTGCGGTGCAGCAGAGTCACGAAGCCGCAGTGGAACCCGGCCCTAAGGGGCTAATGAAGGAGTCCACACATTTTAGACGTGATCTGACAAGGCATATTACGAAATTTCATGGCAACAGTCCATGGTAACCATGGAAACGGAGTATGGAATGTTGCATTCCACTGCCATGGAACGCTAAGAAAGATATTATGTCCTTACCACGATCGATGTGCCATGGTCAAAATTCACTTTGGACAGAGTTGCTAGCGCTCCGACAGGAGTATGTGCGGCCATTTTGACGATTGATAAAATTGAATGTGTGCAATGACATAATCTTGAATTTTGCGCCATTACTTTGCCCTACAAAGACCTCATCTCAACAATTGTTTCAAAAAAATTCTCAACCAAAATCACCTGGGTCCTACCGGTAGGACCCAAGAAATCGCGCATGCAAGCTATTATTAAGCTAGCACTTGCACTTCCTGCAGACTGATTGTCACCTGACTAACTCACGCGCCATCTAAAGCACATGAGAAGCACGTGTCGTTGACCCCTTCACTCGGCAAACCTACAAAATCCTACCACCCGAAGTGCCATGATATTGCGCCATAAGACTAATTCAACAGCAATGGTATTAAAAACAAAAAGAGTAGGTAAATTATCATGTCCCCTCCCGACGGGAACTCACGACGGCCGCTAACACCCGGAAAACCCTAGCGGCAGATGCTGCACCCAGTAACAGTGAAATTTAAAAAAATTCAACACGAGAACAAACACATGATCCTAAGGTCACATTCAGTCATTGCCACCTATATCTCACAGCTATTTTTCACACGTCGCGCAAGCACACTGTAAAGGGCGTGCCAGTGAGGGAAGCTAGGAAGTGCGAGAATATCTTTCTGAACCGAAGAATGTCTCTGTGGTAGAATTTATTGCAGCGATGTGCTTTTCTGCTGAATTTGTCTTATGGCGCGAGATAATGCTGTTTTTTGGCAGTAGGATTCTGTTATGAAATTGCTACATTTGGTCTGTATGGAATCATTGTTTTATTCGTACCTGTGCAGTGCTTTGGGAATGGGTGTGTAGCCCTAAAATGCTTTCTATGTGTAGTTTCATTTCGAGTATCTCCCATTGCTCAGTATCGCTGCCTAGTCCGGCGTGAAAAATTCAGAACATAATAATATAGTCCTTAGTCTGCCAAGGTTGATGAGCTTCATCTGAGAGCACTCAAAGACAATGCTTGCAGGGCTGTTGATTGGCTGTCCTTATGGCTATAAGCAAGAGTCCATAAACAAGAGTATGCAACTGTGATCTCTTTTCTATGGGCCAAATGCGCGGCGCGCTGCCTTCATTGCATCATTCAGCTGCAGTCCGAGGCTCCGCGAACTGCGGAAAATCAAACACCACACTTTCCCTCTGGTTTGAAATGAACTTTCATACGGAACTGGAGCCAAAATTTAGAGATCGCGTACGTACTGGAACGAATCGAGCAAAAACAGATGGGCTCGTACGAGAAATTGTGAGTTTGAATGCATGCTTTCAGTGCGTGATGAAGGCAAGTTACGTAATGATGGCAGCGCGCCGCGCACTGACCCATAACCACAGTTGCATACTCTTGTTTATGCACTCTTGTTATAAGCACATGACTAGCCACAGCATAACATCGTGACGACACGACCGACGTTATTATCTGTACTTGCTTGGTTGAGCAGCATCAAAGGAAGTGAACGGGTCAGCTGCACAGTTTTTGAATTGGGTCCGCAGCTGGAGACCAGCTTGGCACAATTAAGAAAGTAAGAAATGCATTTTATGCTGTTTGGTTTGGTTGTGTTGTGTATGTGCAGGTTGCAGCAAGTATTAGTTCTGCTCCCACGGTGTATGACGGTTCAGAGTGCAGCACATCACTAATATGGATGTGGACAGTCCTGGCGCTGATGACGCATCACGGGCTGTTCGACCAAATAATGATCCCAATGCAGCTGCTCAGCAGCAGCAGCAGCAACCCATCACTGATGATTCGTCCACCATATGTGTAGTTGAACCATCGTCAACCCAACCAGTAAGTAGTCGTGTGCGCACACTATTGCTTCCTTGTATGTTTTGTACTGGTGACAACGCCAGATCCAGGTTGTCAAACACATGCCGAAGCAACCAACCGGAGCGACCACTTGCTGGTCACTCCGGGACAAAATAAACGAGCAAGCTCCATTCGGTTCAGCAATCTCCACAACGAACGACTTCGGGTTGCATTCCGCATGTATTTACTCCGGTACACGCACGTGCAGCATGTGGCGCATTGTACTTGAAGTACAAGGGACATGATCATGTGAGAGTACATTTTGTCGCCGGAGAGGTGCAACACCACTCTCGCTAAATCTTGTCGCAACAGCGGATCCGCCACTGCATGTGGGACCGGGCCCTAATAAGTGCAACGCGCTGGAAGGAGTTCTACAAGTCTGTGTTCTTGTTTGAATGAGCATTTTTTAAAACTTTCTATAACAGTGGTTATCTGAAAAAGTAAAGCACCGCGCTCAAGACCCCTGAGGAAGGGGAAGCTACAGTCCATTCAGAAAAAGATGGACTTCTAGCTTTTGGCCATAAATGGGTCAAACTTTGAGTTTTTTTAGAAATTTTTTCTGCCATCCCCTATGGAATCCTCTTCCAATTATGTTTCTGAAGTTTTTTGTCCAAAAAGCAAGCCATAGCAAGAATAGGATTTCGGCCAGGTTTTACCCCAAAAGCACTGAATCGGGAAAACCATCAAAATCCAGGCCGTTTGACCCCGCCTGCAACAGTGCATTGTGCGGTTCGAACCCCAGTTCAGGTACCTTTTTGGACCCTTTTTTCAAATTTCAAAGTTCGCATCACTGCACTGTGTACGATGAAATCACGAAAAATCGCCAAATACGGGAGCTCGCCAGAGCCAGGGCCCATCTTTCTATGAATAAACTGTAAGTGAAGACGAGCCTCCCAAATTGGGTGGTCTGTTGCTTTGCGTCATCGAGTTGTAGTAAGGGGGGGGGGGGGTACTGCTTTGTTCACAGAGGCTGGCCAGGACTGCAGTACACCATAGTTGATAGTTAGGGAGGGAGGAGAGAGGGGGGGGGGGGCAAAATGGGTCTCTGCGATAATGTACACGAGTGGCGGTTTTGCTAGACTGCATAGACCAGCGCAATGGTGGAAGCTCTTGTAACGAATTCACAACTCAAATAAAGAATTATCGATCGTGCCTGGTAGAAATTATTTGTTTGAGTAGGTAGAAGGGCCTTTGTAGCAATAGTGAATTTCCTGGAGTTCTTGAGGCCAGACAAGTACATGTACTCCTCGAAGCTGAGGACCAGGTGTGTTGGCATCGACATAGCAACTATCGTTGGAGACAACTTAGACCAGAGCTGTAACAGCCTGCCGAAAAAAGCCTAGAGAGGTGACAAGGAGCAGAGGTTTATATTGACATCGAAGATGGTGATTTTCAACATGCCACTACTGCTACAACAGATTTCAACGCAGGGACACATGCTGATCTTCCAGATATCGGTTTTAGTTGTGGATGTCTGACCTTCAATGTGAATAGGAAGAGTTTGTGCTCAATGGGCGGTCGTTATGCGCACCTTATTTGTTGTCAACACTGCTGTAAGCATGGCATGTCACTATCTAAATATTTGTGTAGAAGCGGGCAAGCGGCCCAGCGGACTCACACGAACACCAGACCCGTGCAAACCTGGCATGCGTCTGTGTACTCGAGCATACTCAAGTACTTTTGCTGTTTTTTTTCACGCGCACAAAGCACAAACGTGGACACATGGCTCACGCACAAGTGCAAAAAGATTATACTCGCGCTTTGGTCACACGAGTATATCCCTATGGATGCAGCACGATGCACGTGAGGTTGCACGTCATGTGAATCGCCTATAATGAAGTGACAGTTTTTGCGTGCTGGAGGAAGCATTTCATTTTGTTGGTTGTATGTAAGGCTCAGCAGAAGGAATTTATTGGACTCCACGGCAGGTGTATTCGTAGAATAATAGTGGTAAAGCACACCTGGCTAAACATGCTTTCCAACACACACTCTCTCTAAACTGCAAAGTAACTGGGCATTCTTCATCTGCATTCAATAACTATTTTCAAAACGAAACTCCTTCAAACCCACCCACCCCCAAACGAAAACTTTTCGTTTTGAAAATACTATTGGTCACCTTGGACCCTTGGCCCCTTAGTCTTGCAACTAAGAGAGAATAATGTGTACTTGGTCCGACTTCTTAAAATGTGCGCTTCGCTTCAAAACTCAAGCATTTGTACAAATGAGCACCAGAACTAAAAAATCAACCAAGAGACGGTAGATAGATGACTACTGTATCATCTCTTGTCCTGACCTTCTAGTTTTCATCGCTGCTGGTGTCTCTGGGCGCATTTGCAAGTGTGTCACCCTTCAAAACATCGACAGTTTTTTGTCTCCTTCAAGCTACACTGCGCTTCCTTGATGTTTTCGATCAATAGGCCCGATTTTGACGATCGCCTTCGCCTCTTCCTCGTGCAATGCAACTGCCAGAATGGTAGCTGTAGGTGTTTTCACCCGACGTTCCCACGATACCTTCAAAGGAGGCGAGCAGGTAGACCACCACGCACTAAAAATCACGGTGTCCACATACTGACAGTCTGTGTCATACAGTCTGACCGTGCGTGCTCATCCCTGTTGTACGAATCGATGGACCACTACCGTTAATAGTACACTGTCACGGGAGACGAGATGGAGCTTTCGCATAGGCTTGATGTAACGATGACGCCTCGCGGCTCTGAGACCTCCGCACCATCCACCCACCGTATCCGCAGAATAATGCACTCTTTGTTCGTTTCAGTTTTCCAGCCAGTTTCTCGCGTGAGAGGCGACTCCAGGGGTGGTTGTATATTTCGATCAGCTTCTCAGCGATCTCTTCTGCGATCATGATTCGTCGGCCGCCACATCGTGGACGACTGCGAGAGACATCAGTAAACTGGACGACGTGATGCTTGTGTTGCAGCATGAGTTTCTGGATGATGCATTTGCTGAAATTCCGCCCAGGAAGCAGCGACTGCAGCGATTTCGATCCACCAGGAGGGAATCAAGAACGATCGCCCAGGAGTTTCTGGTACTCCGTGACAATTCTCCATCGCATTGGGGTCTTGATACCAGCACCGGGCCTTCTCAGTGTTGCGCGTGAAGCAACAGGAGTCCTCTGACGACAAAATTTGAACGCGAAATGCAGGAGTCGCCTAGGAGTTTGAGGCGCTGCCTCCTTTGGAGTTCGAGCCATTCCTTCCTCAATATCACAAATCGACAACTGAAGGACACTGTTAGGTAGCTGGGAAGTTCATTCTGTCCTGAGATTATTTGAATTTGTTTGGTAGGCTTCGGAAACGAAGCGCACATTTTAATAAGTCGGACCAAGTATGTGTGACCGGGGGCATGTGTGTATTTACGTACCACCTATTTACTAGGTGGGGTTTTACCACCGTTATCGTATATAAAACTGCCACTTTCTTGACAATCTACGTATCCTCACTTCCCAATTCTTTTACGATAAACTGCATGACTGTGTATGCATGTTCTCTCACTGTTTGAACAGGTGGACAGCAATGGTACAGTGACTGCGGTGCATCTGAATGAGAGTGGTTCACAGCAAAGTCATGCAAACCTGGACAGTCAAAGATCTGGTAAGTATCTTGCTAGCAATGAAATTGTACACAATGTAGGATGATTTTAACTAATGGGTACACGCTATGTTGGACAGCCTGGAACCTTTCTGGGTTTTTTTTATAATGCTTTTATTGTGTTATCTGCATTATGATATTGTTGAAGAATCTGCACAGGCCCAGGTTCCCCACGTGTCAACACACTGGAACACTGCCTAATACTGGATAACTGATTCGTTTAAAACAGAGGTTCCAGGCTGATTAATAGAGTGCTCCGTCAGGCGAAATAGCACGTCATAGTACATTCGAGATCAGAGGGAAGAAGATGACGACGTCCACTAATTCAGTATCTGTGCACACGAATCTGCTGTGTGTGTTACTCTGTGTGTCAGCTATGGCATCATCGCCTGTGGTTCCATGCCTAGCATGTACGTCTGAACCATCCTGCAAAGTTTGAATGACGTAGGTTGAGCGATCGCTCCGCGAAACATACTTTTTGAAATTCTCTTCATAGTATATCTTCCACCATTGAAATTTCGAATTTCTTCGATTTTTTTGCTGAGAGGGGTGGTGTTGTGTCCTACCCCAGGTGGGTTCTACTCGGACTCATCCAGCTCGATCACACACACACTCGAGGCCATTACATATTTCAGTTCATCTCAAACTCCATATCCGAAAAAGACCAAGCTCACGTGCGAGCATGCGCACTACATACATATGGTCCATGTCCAGGACATGACAATTTCCCCCTCACTAGTTGAGGCGAAGCATCTAGAACTATGCAATAGTAAACATATCAAGATGCAATCACAAAACTCGCAACTGTCGAGACATAATATTTCATGATACACTATACACCATATATACACCATAAATATATAATTATATACAATATCCAGCAGAGTCCAAAATATATCATTAAAACTCCACAGACTAGAGTAGGTCTATATGAACTGTGTGTTCTGAACGTCAATCCTTGAAACGAACTGGTCGAACAGTAGCGCGGGTTGACCGTCGTTCAGCTTGCGGTGACGACGTCTTGCTGTAGCTGGCACGTGAAGTGCTAACCGACGCAGACTCACTAGTACCGGTTGTTGCTGAGACCGGCGCGCCTAGCTCCGCTGCCGTGACACTGGCGTCGTTGTTGCTGAGTGACGGCTGTGACTGAACCTGAGCTGTTAAACTTGCTCCACTCTGCTCAGACACCCCTGCATCGAACTGAGGGATTTGCCGAGAAAGGAGCTGGTTGCGATGGCGTTTCCACATTGCATCACCGACTTGTATCTGATACGTCATCGGACTGAGAACTGCCGTGACCACGGCTGGGGCCCACTTATCTCCTCCTTTGCCGAAATTCAAAGCCAGGACAGCTTGGCCGCACTGAAATTCCGGGGTCCCATTGCCATTCAGCAGATTTCTTCACCAGATTGTACAGAGGTACCATTATTGTTGCGAAATGAGGTATGAACCGTCGCAAGAAATTCGCCGTTCCAATGAATGATTGAAGCTCGATAACATTCGAAGGAGCCTTAGCGTCCCGCATTGCCTCAATCTTATCCGCTGTAGGAGCCACACCAGCACTAGAAATCGTGTGACCCAGGTAGGAAATCTCATCCATCATGAAATGAAACTTACTGGGTTTAAAGGGGAAGTATACCCTAAAATCAAAGTTTCACCAGTTGTAGTCTTCTGGGTGCTGAGTCGAATGGTCTTGGTCCGAGGAAGCTGCGGCGCTCCCTTCCTACTTGAATCCCAATCGAACTCGCGCACTTCCACCGAAACTGGGTGACTGCGCCCTACTAGATGGGGATTTGTATGCAAAATGTCACTAAAAGCGCCATTTCGTTCTTATAAAAGCACGGATGACCGCGATTGGCCCATATGTTGTAGTCTTTTGGACGCTGAGTCGACTGGTTTTGGTCCGAAAAGGCTGCGATGCAGCGTTCCTCCTTTATTCCCAATCGAACATGGTTGAACAAGCGGTCACGTGCTCCTGGGTGCCCAAATCACCTGGTCACCACGCCAGCAGGCGACAAATTTCACACCAAGGTTCAACTCGAGTGACAGGAGTGCACCCAAAAAAGGTCAAACAGGCTAGTAAGTTGTACCCTGCAGGCACGGTGACCAGGTGACTGGTGTACGCAGGAGCACGTGACCGCTTGTTCAACCATGTTCGATTGGGAATAAAGGAGGAACGCTACATCGCAGCCTTTTCGGACCAAAACCAGTCGACTCAGCGTCCAAAAGACTACAACATATGGGCCAATCGCGGTCATCCGTGCTTTTATAAGAACGAAATGGCGCTTTTAGTGACATTTTGCGTACAAATCCCCATCTAGTAGGGCGCAGTCACCCAGTTTCGGTGGAAGTGCGCGAGTTCGATTGGGATTCAAGTAGGAAGGGAGCGTCTCAGCTTCCTCGGACCAAGACCATTCGACTCAGCACCCCGAAGACTACAACTGGTGAAAATTTGATTTTAGGGTATACTTCCCCTTTAAGCTTCATCCCGACCTCCTGTAGGCGACGTAGTACCCTGATCAGGTTGTTGTGGTGTTCATCCTCATCCTTCCCAGTAATCAGGATGTCATCCACATAGACGATGCACCCAGGCAGATCTGCCAATATGGATTCCATTGTGCGTTGGAAAATTGCCACTGCCGAGTGAATGCCAAACGGCAATCTCACGTATTCATACAACCCCTTGTGAGTAGAGATTGTCGTGTACGGCCGAGAAGCTGGATCAAGCTCCAGTTGGTGATAGGCTTGGGAGAGATCCAATTTGGTGAATTTATCTTCCCCCGACAATTTCGCTAACATTTCCTCAATAGTAGGTAGCGGGTAGTGCTCCAAATCAGACTTGGCATTGATTGAGCGAGAGTAATCAGCACAAATTCGGATACTACCATCCGATTTCAGTACTGGCACAGTAGGCGATGCCCATTTGGAGTGCGCAACTTTGCGAATAACTCCCTCTGCTTCCAATTTCTCCAAAGCCTCCTCGTACTTCTCCGTGATAGAAAACGGGACGGGACGCGCCTTGTGGAAAATTGGATCAGAATCATCCACTCTCAGGGTGATTTGAGCCGACCTCAGCTTGCCAACCTGAGTCGTATCGAACAGCTCCTCAAATTCCTCAATGAGAGCTCTCCTCCTACCATCCATTTGAACATGATTGACATTGACAATCTGTTTCCACGGTAGAGTAAATTGGGACAACATATCCCTGCCCAACAATGACGGACCACCATTATTCACCACACGGAGTAGTGTTGGTTTCTCCACACCATCAATGCTGACATTGAGCTTCCCTTCTCCAATACATTTGATTTCTGCCCCAGAAAAACCGGTCATGCGTACACTCGGTTTGGTTAAATTTGTACGAGACACCCCAAGTGACTCAAAATCATGGACAGAAATGATTGAAATGCCACTGCCCGTGTTGATATCCATTACAGCAGGAACATCATTCACAGCAATTTCCAATTTGTAGGAGGGAACAGATTTGCTCTTCAATTCGCCCTGATCCGAAATGTGGAACATTGGCATGCACTCAAGATCAAGAGATTCATGCTCACCTGCGTCATCAGTCACAACATTGTGCACCGACGCGCCTGACGTGGATTTCTGCCGACTAACACGCTCCAAGTGCCCCTTCCCGTGGCAGTGACGACACTCAGTGGCCTTGTGTTTGCACTTATCCGCCAAGTGTTGAGTAGACCCACAGCGGTAGCACAATCTCTGCTCTCGAGATTGATGAGATTGACGAGAAACACCAGACTGCGGCTGCGAACGCGATTCCACTGGCCGGTGATTCACCTTGTGCACTTCCTGCTGAGAGGTCAGCTGCACGGCTGCGCGCGCCGCTGATTCCTGAGTCAAAGCTAGTTTGACGATGTCATTGAACGACTGTGCCGAAGTATCTTCTTTCGTCAATAAGAAATTTCGAGTGGATGAGCTGCTCAAGCCAGCAATAAACTGGTCTCGAAGCGCTCGATCGAGGTGATCAGCAAACTCACACCTCACAGCCAATCTCTTCAGACGAATGATGAAATCCGCAGTCGACTCATTTTCCTTCTGCTTCAACTGATGGAAATTGAACGTCGCCGAAACTTGCGAAATTGCAGGTTGAAAATACTTCCTCAAAAGATCGCAAATCTCCGACAGTTTCTTGTCAGCTACTTTCGCTGGCAGACAGAGGCTCCTCAAAATCGAGTAGACTTCCGCAGACAGCAAACTCACTAATACAGCCTTCCTTTTCTTGCTGGCAGCCAACTTGTCTGCAGCATTGGCCGAAGCAGCCACGGTTCCAATATCATTGGCAAATAAATAGAATTCAAGTCTTTCCTCAAACTCTTCAAAGTCGCCGCCGGTAAACGGCTGAAGCGATGATATCCGAGCCATATCTTCGTCGCCAGTTGTTGTGTCCTACCCCAGGTGGGTTCTACTCGGACTCATCCAGCTCGATCACACACACACTCGAGGCCATTACAGATTTCAGTTCATCTCAAACTCCATATCCGAAAAAGACCAAGCTCACGTGCGAGCATGCGCACTACATACATATGGTCCATGTCCAGGACATGACAGGTGGCTTGCAACCTCGATATGGCTTGTTCCAGGCATGCTTTGGAGCCATCGCCTGTTGAAGTAGTGGCGGGGATCTGCCCTGCAACTGCTACAACAAAAAATGATTCGATCTGAGAAAGGGTGAGACCGCGAATCTCGGTTGAATATTGAGTATTTCAAGGCTTTTCACGACGAAGATGGAGTTCCTTTTGGAGATGGACGTCGCGGCAAAGGACATTGTGTCCGACTTCTGGCGTCTGGTGAAGCCAGGGATCATTTGTCCAGTCAGGTCGGCAGCCTAACCGTCGGTAAGCTTGTGTTTGGATCCCGTTCTGCTCGATGTGGTAGATCACAAACAATTTGATATCGCACAAATGATCTCAGCATCGTGCGTACGGTTTTTCGTCAGGCGAAATTACTGGTCAGTCGGCGACACGCATTTTTCACAAAATTTTGCGTTTCACCTGCTGGGAGAGTATGCGTGTACTCGAGTCTCATCCTGAGCACGTTTTTTTCTTCTTTTTTTCAGCTCCAGTATAGCTGTATTTTTCATTGCAAAGCCGTCCTCGATTGTTGTGTTCGTTGTTCAAACGAAGTGGACATTCAATCATGAAGGCAGAGAACATAGGAGACTGATTGGAGTTTCTCGTGGCATAGGACGGCCACACAGAGACACTTTGGGATTTTCTGAATATATAATACCGTACGCACGATGCTGAGATCAATTTGTGCGATATCAAATTGTTTGTGATCTACCACATCGAGCAGAACGGGATCCAAACACAAGCTTACCGACGGTTAGGCTGCCGACCTGACTGGACAAATGATCCCTGGCTTCACCAGACGCCAGAAGTCGGACACCATGTCCTTTGCCGCGACATCCATCTCCAAAAAGAACGCCATCTTCGTCGTGAAAAGGCTTGAAATACTCAATATTCAACCGAGATTCGCGGACTCGCGCTTTCTCGGATCGATTAATTTCCTGTTGGAACAGTTGCAGGGCAGCTTCCCGCCACTGTTTCAACAGGCGATGGCTCCAAAGCATGCCTGGAACAAGCCATATCAAGGTTGCAAGCCACCCCTCTCAGCAAAAAATTCGAAGAAATTCGAAATTTCAATGGTGGAAGATATACTATGAAGAGAATTTCAAAAAGTATGTTTCGCGGAGCGATCGCTCAACCTACGTCATTCAAACTTTGCAGGATGGTTCAGACGTACATGCTAGGCATGGAACCACAGGCGATGATGCCATAGCTGACACACAGAGTAACACACACAGCAGATTCGTGTGCACAGATACTGAATTAGTGGACGTCGTCATCTTCTTCCCTCTGATCTCGAATGTACTATGACGTGCTATTTCGCCTGACGTATATTCAGAAAATCCCAAAGTGTCTCTGTGTGGCCGTCCTATGCCACGAGAAACTCCAATCAGGCTCCTATGTCCTCTGCCTTCATGATTGAATGTCCACTTCGTTTAAACAACGAACACAACAATCGAGGATGGCTTTGCAATGAAAAATACAGCTATACTGGAGCTGAAAAAAAAAGAAGAAAAGAACGTGCTCAGGATGAGACTCGAGTACACGCATACTCTCCCAGCAGGTGAAACGCAAATTTTTGTGAAAAATGCGTGTCGCCGACTGACCAGTAATTTCGCCTGACGCAATACCGAAAGGCAGAGCTAGTTCCAACAAGAATAAGAGGATGAAAAAAGTGTTTTTACTTTGAGTTTCACGCACTAAGCGATCATCAGAAAATTGTTTCATTTGTAGAGACATGACGAAAAGAAAAGGAGCACTGCCAAGAATGGATGTAAAAAGACATGAGGTTCATCCAGTCAGTCCAAGACTGATCCTCTTGGGCATGCGCATTGCAGCAATGTGCCAAGGGTGATATCTCTGGAGTCAGACATCGCAGATCTTAAGGGCCGGGTTCCACTGCGGCTCTGCTGCTCCGCTGCTCGTCATCCGCGGCTTGAAATGTCATCATTACCATAGTGACCGCGGCTTGAACTGGAGCAGCGAGGCCGCGGCTCACCGCTAGCTTTCGCTACGATTCTTGATCAAAAACTGCGAGCCGCGATCGCGGCTCGACCTGTTTCCCGTACTTTGCATTGTTTTGTACGCGAGAATTTTAAAATTCAAATTCTTATTCGTTGCGCAGGCCAGAACACGAGCATTTTTTTTATTTTGCGCGCGCGCAGGCAGGTAAAACATCATCAAAACATGGAGCACGACCGCGGTACCGCGAATGGCGAGTGCCAGTGGAACCGCGCTGCTCCGCTGCATGCAGCCAAGTGCAGCGGAGCCGCAGTGGAACTCGGCCCTTAGCGATTGTTGCAATGGAGAGCTTGGAGTTTCCGCTACCACGTAGAGCCTTCGATTATTGAATTTGAACAATAAAATGGCGGAGTTATGAAGGTTCCTATTTTTCGAAAAATGTTCGAAAAAATCGCTGCATAACCGTCGATCAAACGGTTATCCGTTTGTTTTACATAACCAGTTATTCGTAATAACCGTTACAGCCCTAGTAAAATTCCAAGCTGTTGGGTTTCGCTGTATGTGATTTCTCCACGACTAGTCGACTGCTAAACGTGCCTTGTTGCGTTGGGGACGCTTCAGCGGCATGCGCCTCCACATGGACCACGGACCTACACAATGTTCTCCATTTTGTTTTCCACGTGTTGTGGACCTTGTGTTTTGCCCGCCTTGAACGTTTTTTTACGAGATAACCACAAACCATCATGGTGCAAACGTCAGCAAGAGAAAGCAGGGCGGCACATTACGATGGCAGTGGAGGCGGGGCAGAAGCGGCTAAACCGACCGAGGGTCTCGGTATCAACACCACTCATGCGCGCCAAACAAAAAAAGCTAACGGTGCCATGGATAAATCCAGAAAATGCGAAACATATTTCAAAAATGAATAGGCAACGAGGAGACTGTATCTTTATTATAGTGATAAATAATATCAGTGAAGGTTCTGCTTCACTGATTCTATTTATCGCTATAATATTTCAAAAAGTCCTAAGCTTTCCTACAGAGATCGGTAGAGAGACGCATGAAAGTTGCCCTCGCTTCCTGGCGCGTACGACATACGGATTTTCATACATAATTACATAGAATGAAACCTCCCTATCGTTTGCATATACTGAATGGATATTTATGACATCCTGACATTGTGTTATTGTGTTCTTTGTGTTTACATGGTGTGTTGAAATTTGCAGAACTTTCTCCAACTCTTCAACCAACTGGAACTCCAAGTCTGGTTGCACCCCGTGGGTATGTCAATAATAATGGCGACGCCATGGAAGGCATGACTGCAACAGTACACACCACAGCAAACACCAATGAAAGTGTTGGGCATTGTCCAAACCAGCCTGGTGGCGATGATATACCAATGGACACCAGTAATGGTATTGAACACCATGGAAATGTTCAAGGAAACGCTCAGGCAATGTCAATGTCGAATGTGGATCAAAGCATGCCAGCTGAGAGTGTGACGAACATGCCTGCGCCAAGTGCGCATAATCAGCACCCACCAAGTGTTTTGCAGCAGCTACCACCACAGCAGCAGCAACAAGCAGAGCTGCAACAACAACAACAACAACAACAACCGCCACAGCAGCAGCAACAGCAACAACTACCAGTACAGCAACCACAGCAATCACCTCAGCAACAACTAATGTCACAGCAGCAACTACCACCACCAAAGCGGCAACTACCGCAATTACCTCAACAGCAACAAGAACCACCACGGCCACCACAACAGCAGCAGCAGCAGCAGCAGCAGCAGCAACTGGAACGACCACCACCAAAGCGGCAACTACCACAATTACCTCAACAGCAACAAGAACCACCGCCACCGCGACAGCAGCAGCAACCGGAACGGCCACCACCACAGCAGCAGCAGCCACTACTGCCACCACAAAAGCAGCAGTCATCGTTGCAGCATCAGTATCAACAGCAAATGCCATACCCAACACATCCGCAGCAACATCCATCGCTGCAACAATGGCCACAACAGCACCACCAAGGTATGCAGTCACAGGCTCACACGAATCAACCGCAACATAATCAGCATCAGCAGCAACAACAGCCCCTGCAACAGCAACCACACGCACTGCCTCAGCAGAAGCAGCAGCAACAACCACCACAGTTACAGCCACAGCAGCAGACCCAGCAACAAGTTGCAAACGTGTATGGACAGGCAACGCTACAGCAAGAGAATCAGCAGCCGCCTTTGAATGGCCATGCTTTTGCCTCAGGTCAAACACCTCATCCGTTTCAGCATAGCCTGAACCAAGGCATGCACACAGCACAGCCTGGCATAATGTCACAGCAGTACACAGCAGTGATCCCTTCCGAGCACACAGCACCACACTACGGTCAAGATTCCGAAGGAAGCCACTATGCTTCACCGTTAAGCTTGTCTGGTAGCAGTATGAGCAGTCTTCACTCTGCTGCATCACTAGCCTTAGCATCACTGGCATCATTATCGGTGGCTCCGTTCCAAGATAGCCAGCAATGGCAGCAGCAGCAGCAGCAGCAGCAGCAGCAACAGCAGCAGTCATCTATGTTAAGTGCAGCACAAATGAGCGGCATGAGCTCTGCTCAGCAACACCAGTTTAGCCAGTTCTTACAGTGGCAGCAGCAGCAGCACTCACTCTCTTCTACCTCTATGCCGCTTATTTCCCATGCGAAGGACCAACAACCCTTCCAGGGTCAAAGTCAATTTTCACAACCGTCCCATGAGAAAAAGGTCCCTGCCTTGGGACAACAACTCCCACAGAGCTCTAATGGACAGTTGCCTCTGCCAAGCGCTCCAGCAACAATGACCGGTGCTGTGCAGTATCAAAGTGCGCCTAGTCCTACACCGGCAGGTAGCAGCGCTGCTTCTGCAGGACTACAGGAGTGTGATCAGTGTGAACAGTCGCCGGCAGTGAGTAAATGCGATGATTGCGACATGTTGTACTGTGGTAAGTGCTGGGATGATGTCCACAGCATCGGCAAGCTTGCCACCCATCACAAACTGCCTCTTCCAAAAATCGTCAAATGCTGCAAATGTACGACGGCTGACGCGACACTGCACTGTCATGATTGTGATGTCGACTTCTGCACAGCATGTGACATTGCCATGCACCGAAAGGGCCGACTTAAGACGCACAACCGAGTGAGCCTAGCAGTAGAAGACGTCTCTCAAGAAGCACCTCCAAGAAAGTTGTCCGCCCGCCTGTGTGACAAGTGCTCGAGTTCCTATGCGGATGTGCACTGTGCCGATTGCTCACTTCATTACTGCCAAGCATGTGACACTGGAATGCATAGCAAAGGCAAGCGCCAACAGCATGTACGAGTGCCAACAACTCCATCAGCAATACCTGATGCTGTTAAAGCCACTGAGCCCCAGCCAAGTACGGCCAATGTCACTTCCAGGCAACAGCAAGATACCACACAACCATGCAGCATCCTCAGCCCACCACCAGCGGTTGTCCCAGCTGCATCAGAGCAAAGTGGTGGGTCACAGGTATCAGCCCCACGCAGAACTACAGCAGGTGTGGAGAGCAGCAACGCGGATACTAGTGCCAGGCATCCAGAAACCAGCTCTGTTGGAAATCAGCAACAGAACGCGCCTCAGGCAGAGATCACAAGTTCATCAGCGGCGCAAACATCCGCACAATCACCCCTCACTGCTGTCAAAGCCATCGGCCCTGCCGCACCACATCAATTGGTTGTTGCTGGAAGTGTTGCATCCCCTCCAACGGCTAATGCTACGGCCTCATTCACAGTGCTACCATTGCTGAATGTGCATTGCGACACACAGGATACGGGCACACTCATGCAGAAAGTGCTGGTATCAGATCAAGGCTTGTATGAAGTCGCCAGGCTCAGCAGTAGTAGCGGCAGCAGTGATAGAAGCAGCAGCACTGGCTATGACGGCAGTGGCAATAGTAGAAGAAACAGCCATGGAATGGAAAGGCAACGCTCTCGCGACTCCCAGCACTCGCTAGCAATGCTGAAACATGAGCACCTGCACAAAAACACTGTGATGACAGTGGGTCTTTATGGCAACAAGGGAAGAATTGCAGCTTGGCTTCGGGAGCGCCAACTTGTGGATGCACGATCACTGCGCAAGCTGATGGACGACACTGATCCAGGTATCTATTGTCTCAGCAATGGTGGTAGTGTCCAGTATCTGCTGCTCCGTCCCACGGATAATGCATTCACGGAAATGTCTCGAAAGAACCTCAGCTGCAACATGGTCCGCTATCTTCTCGAGCTCTGTGATGAGATCTTGGTCTTTTTTGCTGAGAGCGAATTATCATTGTTCAACCACTTTTCTTTTGGCAACCAGCGTGTGAAGAAGCGCACGCAAAAGCTAGTGGTCAGCTTCCAGAAGGAATCAGATGAAGACATCATCTTGAAAGATGGTTTCTGTGTGGAGTTGAAGAGTGATGCTCTGCGTATATCCACCGCAACTGTTACGCTATGCCAGAGCGCGTACGCACGTGCTCTCCATGTGGGCCAGTCGGTGCCGCGGGTTGTGGAATTTATGCCACAACAAGGACACCACCTGTACCTGAATGATGCAGCTGAATTTCTTCGGGTGAAGAAAGAAGGGTTCCGGATTGTGTTTGGACACCGTATCACTGGTCAAAGTATTCTAGAGTTGTGCCGTGCTGTAATTCCAGAACTCCAACCAGTAGTGGAGACATATGACAAGAGCGTGATTGCTTTTGAAGAAGACTTGAAACAAAAGCAACGGGAGCAGCGGGTGAAAGAAGAGGAGCACCGTGGAATGCTTCTGAAGCATATTGGGAAGGCAGTGACATTGCATATTATCGAAACCTGTCCACTTGCAAGCTACCTTTTCACTGACATTGCTCTTCTGCTCAAGGCCAAACCGCAACAAGAAAGAGCAATGTGTTCTATCTGCCATGAGATATTTACTGACCCGTCTGAGTTGAAATGCCAGCATGGCTTCTGCAAAGAATGCTTGCTCGGGCATGTTCAAGCAAATGGGAAAGAGCTTGAGGATGGATCCTGGGAGTTCAGGTGTCCTATGTGCCGTGAGTCCTACACTCTCGAACTCGATGCACTGCCCAGCGCCAGTCGTGCTTTTAATGACATTGTGGATATAGCCAAAGCAGACGAACATGCAGCTGAAGTACAAGAGTCCGAATTCAACCTCATGAAGGACTCGATCAGGTTTGTTGAAGAGCGCTGGAAGTCGGCAAGCACTCATCGTTCCAAGCGCTCAAGCTATAAAGAAGGAAATTTCAGGTCTCAGTTGTCTAAACTCGAAGCCATGGAAATGGCATGTGCTACGTACTCCATAGCTGAGGAGAAGAAGTTGTTGAGTCTAGATGAAAGCACACACTCGAAGAATCTCAGCAAATTTGTTGCAGCTGCAGGAAGGAGTGGACAGAGTTTTGTTCAAAACTTCGCGAAAAAGAGATGCATTCGTTGGACATTGACTCCTGGCTCTTTTAGCAAATGTTTGTCTGAAGAAGACTTCAAAAGTGCTCAAGCAGAAAAACTGGAGTTGTTTCGCAAATCACCCACATCTTGTCATATCTCAAGCATTTTCCTGGCTGATGACTGCAAGGAGGTGGCAGAGCAAATCCGTGAATCCATGGTTCGATTGCTTGAGAGTGACTGCTTGGTGCCTACTGGCTCTGCACAGAAGGCCTCAGATACTATCAGGTATGAGACAGTAGGTGAGTACCGGAAGAATGCTCTCTCGCTTGCAGTGAAACAGATCAAAAGTTACTTTGATGATGAGTCCGAACAGAGACTGCAAATGGAGATCGAAACCCTCACCATACCAAGGGCGATAGCATCATTCCACCAAATACATCTCTTTGTACGCGAGCAGCGCCAGTCGGCGGTAACTCATGTTCAACAATTGTATACATTTGATCCACTGAAGCCAGACCTGGAAAAGATGGAAGTGAATGCTGGCTTTGTTGCAGAACCGCAAATCAAGCTCTCCAGTGCTAACATCCCTTTGGATCCAACATTTCAATCTCTGCTCCAGCTTTACTATCTGAAGACTAACAAGTTGTTGGCAATTGTCCAGTCCACGAATGGTTCTCATCATCAAGTAGGGACATGTGTTCACTTGCTTACTCCGAAAAACCACAAGAATGGCTACCCTTTGTCAACGACTGGATTCCAAGTAAAGCGAGACACCGTGGACTTGGTCGACTTTGACGAGGACACACGCATGGTGGCATTCCATTTTCCGAACCTGAAGCGAATCAATATCTTCAGATTTGACCCTGACTGGAAGCAATGGAGCTTGAGATGTGATGTCGATGTGAAGGAACACAAAGGCGATGCATTACTTACTCAGCTTTTCTTCGTGCCTGGCCAGGAAAAGCTATGCTTGCTGGATGAGTATGGCCAGTGTCATATATATGATGCTCAGGACAAGGTCATGAAGAAACGCACCATCCGTGTGGAGCATCCTGTTCAGAGAGCAATGGCATCTCTTGATGGATCATGTCTGCTAACATTTCAAGCCCAGGAACCTCGGTGCACCAAGAGTGGGTCAGGGACAACATCAAGTCCAGGTGCCACACCATGCGCAGCAAACAGCAACCCAGATTGTAAGGTGGAGAGTTGTGTATCGAGTCCCGCAACTGAGACTGAACCAGTGGATGCTGTGGACACAGATTCTTGTGCCGATACAGACGAAGTCACCAATGGACATGACAGTGTTGATTCAGCGGATGAGCTGTATGCTTCAGATGGTGACTCTGCTGCAGGGCAATGTGAAGCTGGTGACACTGAAGATGCTGAAATGCACTCTGACAGTGACACGTGTGATGAGCCCAGTGAGCCCGAGGTCGTTATGCATGTCTATTCTTTAGTCAACTTGAAGCTGATCAAGACTGTCCACCTAGACCGTGATCAATTCCCTCCAGCATGCATACAAACTATGCAACTAATGCTCATGGGTCGGCAGATGCATCTGATTGCATTCAACAAGGAACACCATCAGCTACGATCTCTTCTCTTAGACATCAGGTCAGCAAGAAGTGTCTTCAACATGACTGACCTGGAGCGTTCCATGCCCAAAGCCAAGCCGTCGCCCGAATCACCAACGAATGCCCCCTCCAACTACCTGGACTATTTGTACTTTGTGTACGACAAGTTCTGCATCACTGACTGTCTATCCACCAGCCGAGCCAGCATACGCCTCAATTGTATCCTGGATATTCCTGCTGAGCGTGTTCGACAGCTGCACCCAGATTGTTCTCCAGACACGTACGTGAAGAAGCTGTTCCATGCTTTGGAGTCCAGCACGCACAAGCCAACCCAGATGCTCCATGTCACGACACAGAACACTGCTTTCACCGACAGTGTGCATCTTAGCTTTGCCGATAGCGCTGCAGCGGCTGCTGCACCGGCATCGATCTCTGACTGGCTGCAGCGGGTTATCTGCCTTGTGCCAATCCAGATTGCACGCGCAGAGCAGAACATGTTGACATTGTTTGCTGATGGCATGAAGAGTGATGCGGCATTGTCGGCCCATACCGTCTTTGACTTGCAAGACAGCATACAGCTTGGTCTGTATGAAGCACTTCTTGATGATTGGCCTGGCCCTGTGAAGGTCATCTCAAGCATGGGAAAACAGAGTACAGGCAAAAGCTATATGCTCAACCATCTGACAGGCTCTCTGTTTGATATCTCAGGTGATCGATGCACAGATGGCGTGTGGCTGACGCTTCGTCAAGGCCAAGACTGTTTGTATGTAGTGCTCGACTTTGAAGGACTTGGTTCCATGGAGCGTACAGAGCAGGAGGACATGTTCTTGTCAGTGATGAATGCTGCCATCAGTGGACTGACTGTCTTCAAGACCGAGTTCCGTGTGGATCAAGATACCCGTAACATGCTGAGTCGATTCAGAGATGGCGTGGAGTTGATCAAGGGTGACGAGCGATTGTTGCGAGGCTGGTTCTATATCAACATCAAGGATGTGGACAAAAGAGATATCGAAGACTTGCAAAGTCATTTCAAACGAAAGCTGGAAGACATCTGCAAGGAAGATGAGAACAACTTCCTGACAAAGATGTACCGTGGGCAGTTGGCTGTACAAACGTTTCCAACGTTGGGCAATGTGGAGTTCTACACTGAACTTGACAGCATTCGTCTTCACTTGGAGTCAAATGCTACACCAGCCTTCCAATCTGGCCGAGAGTTCAAGGAAGTGCTAAAACTATTGATGGCCAAGATCCACATGCAGGAATGGTCTAGCTTTGACCGCACATCAGTAGCTCTGAAGGTGGATCGCCTACAGCGTCACTTGCAAGCAGCTATAGAGTTTGGCTGTGCCCGGAATCACAACAACGAAGACGAACCACTCCTGCTCGCGAGTGGTGAAGCTGTCACTGATCATGATTTAGTACTGGAGTCTGGGGAAAGTGTGCCAAACTGCCTGGATAGTGGTGTGGAGCTGCGTGGCTCTCAGGAGAAGGTCTTGCTCGAGTCACTGCTTTCTGTCTTCTCCAGAATAAATGTAGACAGAAGAGTGTGTGAAGATGTGAAAGCATGGACGAGCGGTTTCCAGAGCTTTGTGCACGCTCTGTGTGAGAGACGCAAGAAGAGAATCACCGAGTGGGTGAACAGTCATGTCGGTGGATACAGTGATGATGGCGATGTGAGGATTCTGCAGAAGGAAGTCAAGGCTGACCTGTCTCGCTTACGTGAGAACTGGCAACTCTGTGAAGCAAAGTGTGCGCATTGTTTCTACCCGTGTTTGCTGAAGAAGTATCACGAGTCTGATGAGCATGATTGTTTAGGTGACCATCGCTGCCATGAGTCTTGCACTTACTGTGACGAAGCAGAGGAAGATGATTCTCTGGAAGGTACTGCTAGTGCTGACAATGCGCAGACCCCTGAGGGCAACGTAGTTGTGCAGGACTCACACAGTGATTCAGACATGGATGTAGCAGAAGATGGGACTGTGTGTAGCGATGCGGTGAGGAACGACGACGCTCCGCGTCCTGATTTGCAGAATGCTGTCCCGTACTCTGCTCAGCAATGTCGTGACCAAGCGGGTCACGCCGGTCGACATGATTGCAAGGTACGCAATCATACTTGCGGTCAAATTTGCCACTTGTTTGGCAAGGACAACTGTAACCGAAACTGTGTCAAGAAGATAGGTCATGAACGAGATCCAAACGATGGTGAACATCTCTGCAATGCTGTGCAACATCTGTGTGGGGCTAGCTGCACCTTGCCTGGCTGTGCTAACAAGTGCATAAGTCCATATGAGATGACTCATGACAGGCATGCTTGCCGTGACCTGGCCTGTCCAGAAACGTGCGCCATGGATGGCTGCAACAACAAGTGCCAGGAGACCGATGACCACTTCCACGCTCTAATCAGTGATGGACAACCTGCCCAAGTCAACCATTTCTGTGGACAGGAACACGTCTGTCCTAAGGAATGTGACATTGAAGGAATCTGCTTCATTTCTTCTGAGCGCAAGATAGAAGAGCGTCGCTTTAAGACATCGGCCGGTGATGAGTTCACGTACAAGAGTGTCACCGATCAGAATGGAACGCGCAAGAAATGCTGTATCATGATCCCTCCAAACGAGAAGGAGCACGGAGGTGATCATCGCTGCACGCCATCCGATGTGAACAAGATACACTTCTGTGATCGCAGGTGTCCATCATGTGACTACTTCTGCACATTGAAATACAATCACGATGAGGACTTGCACGCAACTGATCATGGAAACATGAGGCTGACTCATGTGGTGGCTGCTGAGGATGTGTTTGTTGTGGACAAGCGTCGTTATGGTCAAGGTGACAGTGGTGAGGCCGAAATGTGCAACTTCCACTGTAAGAGTCTTGGACGAGGACATATCCATCTCAGGGTGTGTGAGGATAGTGCTCGGAGCAGTGAAGAGTGCACAGTTTCCGAAGCGGACGGCAAACGTCATGAAACAGAAAAATACGGTCCCAATGAGGATATTCCAAAAGATGAGCTGACACACGATGCATTCTGGAAGGCCATCCGGTTTCAAGACCCTTGTACTCCCGAAGATCGAGATTCATTCAGGCAGTGTCCAATACGCTGTATGGCTGATGAACATCAACAGTCAACCAGCGATGATCAGCCGACTGAATCATATTGTACAGAGAAGTTGTGGCATGCTCCACTCTCGCAAAGTGACTCGCCTCGATTCGGTGGTGTTGGCCACGTTCACAGCAGCGGTCATCATTTCAAGTGCGTCCATGCCGGTGCTGGGCCACTACATCATGTCTTGGTTGTGGACCGCTCTGGATCAATGAGCTCTGGAGATGCTCAGCCCGCCAATCATTATCTACAACAGTCACATCCTAATCGTCTCGGAGCTGTTCTCGACGCATCCTATCAATACCTTCAGTTGCGTTCTGGGAAATCTCAGAATGATCTGGTCTCGTTCATTGCGTTTGATGACTGTGCAACAACGGTCTTTTCTGGACAACCACTTCAGCCAAGTGCTCTGTTTGAGAGAATGAGATCTGTGGGAATTCAAGGCTGCACTAGCTTTAGCCCAGTAAGTAGTGGCATAGTGTGAGACAAAGACTTTCTGAGATATGCTGCACTTTGTGCGATTTTGCCGTATATACATTACATGTACATGCTCAACTATTCATTGCTGTAACTTGATCCATTCACATAGTGCAGTGTACTGTGCTACATACAGTGTTCACATCATAAACACGCTGGGATTATGAGTAAACTGGCCATCTTGTTTTCGCCAACAACTGCACTTATCTGTGTATGCAGGGGCGTACGCAGGGTTCTTCAGAGGGGGTTACATCGACATGGGGGGGGGGGGGGGGGGTTAAAATATTCCGGCATGCCTATCAGTGTGTTCTATGTATGCACAATAAAGGAGAATACAGCAGCAAATACTATGTACCTATAGTGAATGGAATATCGCCCAGTGCAGGAACTTGTGAGAGAGACCTTGAAGAGCTGTAATACAAAACCCGATCAATCCACTTCATCGCTTTTTGGATAGTGGCCGAAAAAGGATTCATTTTGTGTGCGGTTTGTATCTAAATCCATATGTGGGTTCCAGTTTGAAATGATTCCAGTCAGATTTTGAATGAAAATGTTTGCCTGTTGGTGCCCCTAGACCTTTTGATCACACTGAGCTGAAAATCTGATTTTCTCAAATTCGGCGCTTATCGGGTTCTTTTTTGCATCTAAGCTCTTCTTTGGAGTGAAAGATTTGCAAAACATGACTCCTGACATTGTGCTTTTCAGCATAGCCATGACCTCTTCTAGTGACTTGAATAAAGTGAGAATGGATGAGGGAACTTTCCACTCGATTGGTATTAAAAAATTAAAATAAATCGTGACCAGCAAAAACTTACCTTCCTGCGTTGTGGCTTTGCGCTTCCCAAAAAAGCTCCTGGTGTCTTTCTGCCGCGAGTCCATGGTCCTACTAAAGGAAATCCCTCGTGACTCCAGCTTCCTGGATTATCCGGACCGAAACTGCCAAAATGAACCACTGACTGTATCGTGACCGACAACGGAAAACACTCAGTCAATTAATTGACCCTCGATTCTGACAATCAAGAGAACACTCTCAGCTTGCAATTGAAACAACTGTTTGAGTGGTAGGATGGAAGGTTCTGGAGTTATTCTATTCGAAGGTTTTGCAAAATCCATTGTCTACTGCGGTGGAGGCCTGCACTAATTGTAAGCTGTATGAGCGTGATACACTGAACTGACGAGCAGATGAAGAGGCTTGAATTATATGGCGGTACTTGACTCCCCTGCATGCCTGGGCAACGTTCTATTGGAGGTAGCTAATGGGAATCCCAGCAGTGTTGGGTTTTGGCTCCACTTGTTCCTTATTGCTGACACTTTACACAATGCCGGTGGAGTCGACCTTTGGAAAACCAATACAAGGTGCTCCCTCGTTAGTAGATAATCTCTGGGCCATCAAAAAAGTTATCTTTATCGAGACTTATCTTGTAACAGGACTTTCAACTAAAGATACAAGAAGCACTGGTTCGCACGTATATGGGGTGCTCTCAATACAACATAAATTACCGACGCTTCAACTCGTTTTGAGACAATTGAAAATCTCCAACACAGCTGTTCCTTGCATGCAAAAGGCCATGCATATCTACGAATACATAGATATAATACATTGTGTCTTTCTGCTTTATCCTATGTGTGTTTGGCCTTGCTTAAGCATGGTCAGTATTATCTTAAACTGAGGGTTTGGCACTCCAGAGACCTGGGCAAAGGGTCGTTATAACGAATGTTATGTACTAACGAATTATGTTGTAACCGGACCTGTAAACAGTTGTATAGACCACGTTTCGCCAGAGGATTTCAGATTTCTATTTACAAACGGGGTTTATGTACTAACCGGACTCGTTATAATGAGGGAGGACACGACTCATTGATTTGGGACCAGCACGGTACATGTTTTATGTGTGTCGGGGGTGGGGGGTGTGACAACCCCTCCTCGACGAAATCCTGTATCCGTTTTCATGTATTCACTGCTGTGCTGAACCTCTGTATTCCCCCATCCTCTCCAGGCTTTGGACCGTGCCAGCGAGGTGATTGAATCAGTGGAGCGCTCGGGTACGCGTGGCTGTGTCATTGTCTTCCTAAGCGACGGTCATGGGTCGTTCAGTGAAGACAGCCTGCGTCGTCTCTTACAAGGGCGCATCAATCGAGGGTAAGGTGTATGCGCTGCTGGCTTGTGCTACCTGCTGTTGCAACTCTGGATGTCCGTTTACTTAGCTTCCCATTCGTACGGAGATGTGCCTGAAATGTTCTTGCTGGAAATGCTGCAGTACTGTTCATTGTGTGAACAAAGGTCATGGTTTCATGCATTTTACGGTTCGTCCACCGGGAACTCCCCCCCCCCCCCCCCCCCCATTCCATCCACAGACAGCTGAGATACAGGAGCTCTACTGTTCTATTGTTAGCTTAGGGCCAAAGCTTCCTGACCAACTGAAACGAACTTGAGGCCATTTGTAATGTTTTTTTCGCAGATGTACTAACTTACTAGTACTTAGAGATGAAACCTAATGCTGGTGGGCTGAACGGAACATTTTATTGGCAATGTTCCACTTTCATTTGCGTTTCCCGGATTTTCAGCGAAGGTATATGATGTGTCTACGCTCACACCAAGTACTCTTCAAGTTCACCAAGAAGAAAGACCATGTTTTCCTTACGCATGCGCAATATGACATGTGAACATGTAGTCATAATATAATAACTACACTACATAACAATCCTCCCCTACAAAAGTTGAAGGTATATGAAAGGAAAATGTGAACAAATTATGTACATCAACACAGAAAATCCTCAATGAATAAGGAACCCTAAAGGTGTGTATCTAACAAGTGTACATTCAATATTAAGCCGTCAGGCCTATAGCGTAATAACCTGGGAAAAGCCCATGATCGCTTTACAAAAATATGTACAAAATACCATTGAAGAGTTTCAAAAAAAACTTCAATCACGTCATCAAAATCGTTCATCAAAAACAAGTCCCAATAACAGATTTGTGGAAGGATAATATTCAAGAATTTAGTCCATGACAGACACTAAGTTCTCAAGTTCTGAAACGTGCAGGTTTCTGCACTGTCCTCCGTGGACGGTTGCACACAGCTGTTGACTGTGCAGACTCGACAATACCCGTGGAAATATCCGACGTGCATGTACCTGCAAAAGGAGGAACGGCAGCAGCGGCAGCAAGAGGAACAGTAGGAGAAATAGAAAGAGGAACAGTAGAAGAAGCAGGAGAAGGTATTGGCGAAATTTCTGCGCGCCAAACACCAATGCAAGAGCCTCGCGCTCTATCTGTGAGTAATTCTTCTCCGCTGGTGTAAGAACTCGGGAAGCAAACGCCACAGGTCGTAAGAATTTATTATCATCTTGCTGTAGTAGCACCGCTCCCAGCCCACGCCCCGAGGCATCGACTTGTAGAACGACAGTATTTTCCATTGAAAAATGACTTAACGTGGCGTCAACACTCATGGCATCCTTGATCTCTTCAAAGGCATTTTGTTCTGCAGTTCCCCAGTGCCATGGAGTGTCCCGTTTGAGTAGGGTATACAGCGGAGCCATTTTCTGTGCAAAATGAGGAATGAACTGCCTCACGTAATTCGCTGACCCAATGAACGATTGTAACTCGGAAACCTCATTTGGTGGTTTTGCATTTTTAAGGGCCGTAATACGTTCAGTGGTAGGAGTCAATCCATTTGCAGAAATCTTGTGACCCAAATACGTAACGGCATCAGCCATGATCTCAATCTTGTTGCTTTTGAGTCTCATGCCTGCCTCTTCCAAACGTTTCAGCACTCATCGTAAATTGACCCCGTGCTCTTCATCCGTTTTTCCGGTAATCAAGATGTCGTCAATGTAAACCACACACCCTGGCAAATCAGCCAGCAAATTTTCCATTGTTCTTTGGAAAATCGAGACAGCAGAGTTCACCCCAAAAGGTAAACGAGTAAATTGAAACAACCCCCGATGCGTATTGATAGTAGTGTATACTCTGCTCTCTGGTGTATGTTCCAACTGGTGGTAAGCCTGTGATAAATCCAGCTTAGTGAATTTGGTACCCCCGGATAACTTTGTAAGCATCTCTTCCAGAGTAGGTAACGGGTAATGATCCATTTGTGAGCATTTGTTTATGGAAACTGAGTAATCACCACAAACACGGATACTGTGATCAGGTTTCCGTACAGGAACCGTTGGAGAAGCCCAATCGGAATGCGTGACCTTTTGGATGACCCCATCACGTTCTAGTTGATCTAGTGCCGCATCATACTGGTCTCGAATGTGAAACGGCACAGATCGTGGCTTGAAGAACATTGGTTTTGAGTCGTCCACATGCAGGGTCACTTGAACACCTTTCATTTTACCCAGTGACGATTGCTCGAATAATGCAGGGAATTCTTTCTTGATTGTATCAGTACCCAGGATGCGGTGAACACTTTCCGCAAACATTTGTTTCCAAGGTACAGTCGTCCCTCTCTAATCCGGCACATTTTGCTACGGCGTTTTCTGCTGGATTAACGAGGGTGCTGGATTAAGAAATCCTGCCCTCTGACCCGGCCCTACCCAATTGCATGCATGTATCATACGTCAAAACGCAGGGTTTTTCCGTGTCGACCCAAGTATTTGGTGCACGGCTTCATATTCTCAACTGTTCTCCAGGAATATACACAGTGATAAAGTGATAAAGTAAAACAGAGAACATGTTCACATGTACTCTTGCACACACACGCACACACACCTGAAAATTGGCAGGACACTACTCCTTGCTAAAATAAGAAAGTATGGTTGACTGCCTAGCCGTTGTGTCCTGGACAACATTGACCCTCTTGAGAAGGCCACGCAAGTAGTCGACATCATGCAGGTCGAACGTTGTAGTTAGTTGTAGAACGTCAGTACCGTCGGTCAGTGTCGTGCAATGTTATCGCATGAGCTGATTGTTTAGTAACTGGTGGTGTTAGTGGACAGTATAGCGTAACTTGGGTAATCATCTAGTTTAGGGTCCCAAATTATTTCGCACTTTCCCAGTGTTCTGTGTACTTTCTGTGTACGTGAGAGCGTGTGAACCCCAGAAATTTGAAATCAAGATCAAAAAACACAGTAGCTGTTGATATGGATTTTTTTCATCAGAACCGATCAGACAGGGTACTGCTGATGAATGCTGCGGAGCAGGGAGCCAAAGGTGTTTCGTTCCTCTCGAACTCTTTGCCTCCACACGAACTCGCAGAGGTAGGTTGGAAACAACTCGCGAGACGTGCCGAAGTTGCGTTTGAGCTGGCGCTTCGCGCGCATCCACATATTCTCGACATTGTTGGCATGGATGCTTCGATCATCCGGATCAACAAAGTGGTCGTCATGTACGATTACATCGTGGAGGTATATCCCGCCGCCAATGTTTCCAAGTTGGTCGTACGCGGCCCAGCCATCCGAGATTATTCACACTCAAGCACGCTCTCACGTACACAGAAAGTACACAGAACACTGGGAAAGTGCGAAATAATTTGGGACCCTAAACTAGATGATTACCGTAACTTGTAGTTCCTTGGTCTTTCTCTTTGTATAAATTGAGTTAGGGTTCGGAAAAATCCTAACAACCAACCGAACTGAACTCTCCCGCGCGAGATCGAGTACAGTTGTCAACTGAACTGAATTCTGAAGTGGCCCCGCGCGCGCGGCACTGACCAGACTGGCCTGGCAAGGAGTACACCTGTACGGTACGCGATTTACGACTGCCGGATTATGAAATCAAACTACGTGCAGTTTGAGCGATTCGTTTCAAAAAGTCACTGCCGGAGGCGGAATTCAAGTGCCGGATTAAGATGTAGGAATTGAACGAAAAAAACGGTTTCGTCAGAAAGTGCGCCGGTTGGCAAGGGTTCCGGATGAACAAGTGCCGGATTAGAGAGGGACGACTGTAGTGTGAAAACATTCAGTAAATCTCTACCCAATAAGGAGGGACCGTCGTTTTCAACCACCCGTATCAGGACATTCTCGGTATTCCCGGCAATCGTAACAGACATTGTAGTTTCCCCAATACATTCGATCTTAGTACCGGAAAACCCTTTTAGCAGAACCGTTGATTTCTGCAATGTACGCTTATCACCACCACATTTTTTTGAAATCACTTTTCGTCAAAATTGACACACCGCTGCCTGTGTCTAATTCCATTTCGACAACAAAACCATTCATAGTGACCGGTACAAACAGTGGACCATTAGAACCCTTTTCAGTAGACTGAGATAAATTGCACACGTGAAACAACGGTACACTCTCACCAGGATCATCATCATCATCATACGTTGTGTCGTCATCCAACTGATGGCAATCTTGTTGGCGTTTCTTCGACCGGCAAACGCGCTCCAGGTGTCCCATGCGCTTGCAGAAACGGCACTTCGTCGACTTGTGGGTACACCCGTCCGCCGAATGACTCTCTGAGCCACACCGGTAACACGTTTTCTTTACACCAGACTTGCCATGACTTGTCGACCTTGCTGGTGTGCGGTTTCGAGCACCAGTGGCAGTAGATGTGCGCCTTGACCTCGAGTCTGACGACTTGACAGCATTTAGAGACGTAGTGTCAGGACGCATCTCTGCAGCAAACTTTGCCGCACTCTCCTCATTCAGAGCAATCTTACTGATTTTCTGAAATGTGTCGACGTCTCCGTCTGGCTTCGCCAGAATTAATCGTTTCACTGCAGCACTCCGCAAACCACTGATGAACTGGTCCGACAATGCTCTATCCAAATGGCTCTCAAACTTGCAGTCTACAGCACTGCGCTGCAGTCGATGTGAAAAATCAGTCACTGACTCGGTCGCAAGCTGATTACAGTTCCTGAAAGCGTGCGTCGCGCTCGATCGTGATGTTTGAACCTTGTAATGATCCGTCAGTTTTCCCACGATCTCCTGATACTTCAAATCAGTCGGCGCTTTAGGTAAACAAAGAGTCTTCAGTGTGGAGTAAACCGTTTTACTCAGAAGGGAGATAAGATAAGCTGATACCCGTTTTTCACAACGAGTCTTTTCAGCCGCACTGGCATTCGCCGCCACAACTCCGATTTCGTTTGCACAAAAGAAAAAATCCAGTCTCTCTCGCCATTCATCAAAATCTCTGCCGTCAAACGGCTCTATCGTGGCCTTGGCCATGGCAATGGAAACAATTAGTAACTACCACGACTGTAGTACAAGAACAACTCTATTGATAATTCTTTCTTCGTCGCCATTGTTGTGTCTACGCTCACACCAAGTACTCTTCAAGTTCACCAAGAAGAAAGACCATGTTTTCCTTACGCATGCGCAATATGACATGTGAACATGTAGTCATAATATAATAACTACACTACATAACAGTATAATAGTGGTAGACACTTCACTGATCTCTTTTTCCATTCTATTTAGCGATTGATGAATTACATGAGACGATTAGCATGGATTTGTGATGTCAACTTTAGCGAAATCGATCCGTAGACTGAAATTGCTGCAGTGTCTTCGTGGCTAAAAGGAATGTGTTTACAGTAGCTCCCATTGCCTCAAGACTGCCTAGGGCATGAAACTTAGACTAGATGACGGGCAAGTGGAGAGGGGCATTTTGTACAACTTCGTTTGGAGCTTTGACCGACTTGCAGTCACCTCAGGAGGAAACAAAGTCTACTATCGTGATCAGCAAACTCGAAACTGCAACAAAGCAAGTCATGTCTGGTGTGCTGTACGATAGTCGGTGTGCTAATCATAGTTCTGCAGAACACCAAAAACAAGGGGAGGCGATCCTATGTGTTGAATTTTGTTTGTTTTTGGCACCCAAGATGATTTTTCATGGTGCTTCATGAAGTACTTTGCATCAGTAAGTATAGTCTACGGTCACAGTGACTCTCAACAGAGAGCAGCAAAGGGAGAAAGCAGAAAGATGCCAAAGTCAAAATAAGTTTTCTAATTTTTCTCTGATGAAATTTCACTGAACACACGTCACCTGGCTCGACATAGGCACTCTTTGCTGCAGGAGTGATGTGGCTGGGTGGCCTCAATGCCAAACAAAGGCAAGGCACTTAAAGCTTCGCCACAAAGACTCATTCCCATTGATCTGGACTGGATCGGTTTTCGTTCACATACATGTACTTGCAGCGTCTTGGTTCGATACCCATTTATTATGCATGTCATCACGCTGTCACGTGGATCTTTCCTGCAGTGTGGGAAACGAAGCACGTGTAGATCTATGCTAATCCGTCATCGGCTGTTTCCTTTGTGTGCTGTGTGTGCCGGCTCTCTCTTTGTATTGCGTGCTTTTTTGGTTGTATTGTGTTCATGGCGTTTTGGAAAGAAGAGAAATGAAGGCTAGTCTGACTGTGAGAATCTGAGAAATCAGTGCGTGTACGCACGTTATTAAGTCTAAATAAATCTGGGAAAAACGGCGAGGAGACAACAATTTTAGTACTGCAATCAATAAGACAAGCTGAATCGACATTTGTGTACACTTTATTCATGCAGGGTAAAATGGTGGAGACAATGTGCAACAAAAACGATGAAAGTAGGAAGAAATAGTGAAGAGAACAATTAGGATTCGAACAAGTTTTCGTACAACACTAATCAGGAATCTTCCGTTTCTTTCATCATTTTATTGTACATTGTCTCCACCATTTTACACTGCACCATTTACCCTGCATGAATAAAGTATACACACATGTCGATTCAGCTTGTCTTATTGATTGCGGTACTAAAGATCTGAAACTTCTAAAAAAATGATATAATTGTGGAGGCAGCAAATGGAGCGTATATCTTGGGGCCCAACACAACCTATGCTTTGTACAGTGTACCATGTATGTTTCGTGCAACTCATGCCGGGTTACGTGGCTGTGAAGGAGAAGATACAGTGGAACTCATTTAGTACCGTGGCGTACTCTGAAAAGACATACTCTTACTTACTAAAAATCTATTTATTTCCCATGCACAGGAAAAGCATGGTGCGACTTCATACCATCATGTTTGGTGGGGGAAGCTCCTCAGAACTGAAGCGCATGGTTGAGATAGTGAAGTCGTTTTCGCAAGGAGACAAGTTTGCCAGTCAGAGTTCATACAGTGCAACGGTGGGTGCTATTCAGCTGGCCGAACATTTTGAGGCGCTGGCCAGTTCCCTAAACAAGGGTGGTTTCCTTGTCATGTAGACGGTGAGACGCGCACAGTAGGCCGTGCACAATTGCATGCTATCATATGTAGCTTCTGATGTTTTGTTTCTAACCTATACAGTGAGTTGGAGTAATATACACTGCCATGTCGAATTCTTTCACACTTGTTATTTGAAGACCTTGCCAGGCTGGTTCACTCTGGCCTTTTCCTTTTTTAGATGAGTTTCCTGTTGCCTTCATGCACGTGGCGCACCTACAGAGCACGAACCACAATAGTTATTTTTCTCCCAACTGCTTTTTTTTCTCTCTGCACTGCGTTGGCTCTCTCTGCATTTGCATGCTCCTGTAGGGCCCGTTTCCTGCCAGGAATTGTTCCGTTTATCCAGTAGTTTTCTAGTCCTTGTGGTTGATGCTGCCGATCTAGGATTTTAGCCAATTTCACCAGCCTCTTATTAAACATTGTGACTTCAGTAGGAGTAGTAGTAGCACTGACTTTCTAACTTCATTTTTTTACTAGGTTTTCTGCTTTTTAATTTTCTCGATTAGTCTTCTTCCGAGTTGTGCTTTCAATCCAACTCTCACCTTTGGCTCAGGGAGTATAGTAAAGTAAGCATTCCACATGGCTGTTTATGTGGATGGGCATTGTGCAGAGAATATAGTGAGCTTGTACTGACACTCGGGGAACAGATACTTGAAGTAATTATTTGCTTCAACATACATGTAGTGTGTAAAGTAGTAACTTCTCCAAGTGCTGCTGTTCGTTGTAGGTCTTTACCTGGGCATGATCCTGCCATTACTAAAAGTAAAATACCGACAGGCTAGTTGGGAGCTCATTAACTCTGGTTTTAATAATTATAGTTATACACATTGTTGTGTGTGTGTGGGGGGGGGGGGGTTGCACGCCATGCCAGGTTGTGTGCTTCTCTTGTGCCGTATGTGAGTGTCACTGTGTGTGTTTTGTGAGTGTGTGTTTGAGGCAGTCACGAGTCGGTATTTCATTCAAATGTCAGTGCATGTTCAGTAGTATCTTGAAGTAGACTTGTAGGCTACCAGTATGTTATTCTTCTACGCGTTTTGTAGAAGATTTGCGTAGATGCTTCAGGATATTGCATTTTTGATGAGCGGTGGATGTTGGCAGATCCGTGATTGTGACTTATGTGATCAACTTGATCTTCGCCATTACGGTCGAGAGATCTACAAGAACACTTCCTATCCATGATGCAGTAGATATTATACACGTGCGCAAACCTCACTCCCTGGTTCAAACTACAGTCGACTCCTAGATCCTCATCGATACATGTATCGAACACCATTGTGCGCGAGAAGTTTGTGCTAACCGAAATGCACTCGACTCGCATACAAACAACTCGTCGTGACAGGCATTTGGCCCATGACAGCATGATTGCACTTACGGTAGTTTACATGCCGCCCTACACCATTATAGTTCTTTATAAACGAAAACTGTTCACTATAAAGGTTGTGTGGCTTCAAAGAGGGAGGCATGGACATGTCGACACTGGTTTGCCACGAAATTCGCTATATGCGAGTTCGTTTTAAGTGGAGTAGTCGATTGTATTCTCAGCAACGGTTCCAGGCATCCGGGACTGAGCCAGGAGGTGTGATATATGAGGTAACTAATACTACTACATGTATTACTAGTGTCCCTGACATGATCTCTACAACTAAACAAGACAGTAGATCTACAAGATTGTACTGTCTGAATAGTGTATACTGCTAGTTGCCACAACGACGCGACGGTGATCACACTCACACGAGTCACAGTGACAGTTTCATGCAGTGTGGGTTAGGAATTGCGCCAAAAGCACAATTCACAAAAGCCTCACACCGATGTCAATGCAGGGTCACTTTTCGTCCCGGCAACCTGCCGATAACATCAGGTTCCAAACTTTCCATGCGCTCTTGGTAATATTTATACAGTAGTACTACAAGTAGTGTGTTTCTGCGCTTCCATTCCGCCATACCCAAGAGGAAGCCTTTTTTCAAAGAAACGTCGCTTTAGTCGGTGGACTTAGGTTTTCGAGCCATGGCCTGTGGCCCTATGCTGCTAGCCCCATGTTGTTTAGAATGCCTCGCTGGAGAGTCGAAAGGCTAGACTGCCTTCGGCTACTTACGTGGACAACATGACGCCGGACCGGAAATCAGGGAGAAGGTTTCGCACAGCTTTGCTCGTCTTCATTTGCAGAAAGGAGAACAGCACGCGTTACAATAACCATCATGGAGCGAGCACCCAGCACGGCAACTACAGGCACACAGTTACTATCACCGTGGAACTGAACTCCATAGCCAAGACGGGTGAAAACCCGAAAGGCTAACAGTAGCAGCGGCTGAGCCTAATATCGATCTGTTAGAACAGCTCGCGTTATCAGTTCCCGGCTGACGGCTCCACAACGGTACCTAGTTGTCGAAGTTCTTCACCAGGATTCATGGCAGTCACTTCACGGACTCCACGAAATTTCCCTTCGTAGGGATGATAAAGACGCTGCCGCAATGTTCGAACTCAATCGGAACCGCCTCGTACACCATGGTACACGTGCAACAAAAGCGACCATGCCACCACTGGCACCAGCGGATAGCACCAGACCATGCCACGTGCAAGTAAGTGCAGTAGATCCAACGTGTTGTGGCATACCCGTATTTGCCGGAGTATAGTGCGCACTTTGGAGGCACTACTTCTGGCCCCAAATCGCTGGTGCGCACTATGCTCCGAATATGAACAAAATGAACATGTACTTCGAAAAGTAGTGCAATGCATCAAACTGTTACGAAGTGTGCCACCTCTGACCCTGCGCAAGCCATCTGAATGCACTTTTATGACAATGGTCGCACTCTAGTAGTGCATTATTCTCCGCATATGCCTTGAATTGCCAAAACATTGCTTAAAAATGGGGGTGCGCATTATACTCCGGCAAATACGGTACATGTAATGTAGTCTGTAGATCTACCAAGTGCCCCCCCCCCCCCCCATGCCGTGGCATACACGCGTTGCACAACAAACAAAGTAGATTATTATTATTAGGAGTCAAACGGGTGTATCTTTAACCCTTTCACTACCCATTATTTTCGCAACTGAGTCAATTCACAGTCTACAAAAATACTTCGCCGTGCGCCAAATATGCACCAAAGAGTGAAAGCGATAGTTGCAGTCGATAGCCAAGGTCTTTCTGAAGACGTAGAGCCCTCATTTGTAATAATCCGACAATATTTGAGCATGTGACGAAATATTTAGTGATTGCCTATTGCATCGATCCACGTGGATCGATATTTGAATGGCTGGTAGTGAGAGGGTTAACTAACGAATGGGTAATTTTCGTAACGGGCGGGTTAACGGGTACCCTTTAGCAGCCATGTTTATTTTTGCGCAACTTTCACTCAAATCCAAGGTTTTAATTTTTCTGTTCTCAGGTTGCATTTTGCTATCACATTGTGATTCGCAAATTGATTTGTGTCTGATAGCTGCAGAGGTAGATCTGATAAGTGCGAAAATGCAGACATCCAGTGTGCAGTTGTAAATAATCGACTCCCGCCTGGAATGCGCGATCCCAGCAGTGTTGTTCCGTACTGACTGGATCATCGAAATCCAAACGGGTACCCTTTTACTAACGGTACCTGAGATTAACGGGCGGGTACCCGGTACACCCCTTTGACCCGTAATTATTATTATTAAATTTTTGATAGGGCAATCCCCACAGGCCTAAGGCCTTCTTACAGAGACCTACACGTAGCAATTGTTTTTGTAAACTTGAAACTGTTTTTGACAGTATGATGGTTGATACATAATTATATTAAATTTTTATTATAATAGTCCGTGTATGGGTAATGTCCAATGCTGCCAAATAATTTTCGCCCAAAATCTGACACCCTTTACCGCGAGGCTGGCCACATGGTGCGAATTTTTCCTCTCAGCAATTTTTTAGAGAATTAAAAAGATTTATAGTAAAGAAAAAGGACCAAGAAACTACAAGTTACAGGTCTCCATCCGAGTCAATTCAAAAGATCACCCAACTTGCGAAGAAAATTCGCTTCGTTATCATGGTAACCAATGTGGCGCCCAGAAGTTGTCATGATTTTTTTCACACCAGCCACTCCTTTTCAGCTTGTCCTTGGCCTTGTCGTTTCCGTTCAAGTGTTAGGACCGGGGAGTGGGCCAGGCATACTAGCGATATTCTTCGATTCCAGGTTCTTTATGCCGGGAAATATACCAGGAGTCCAGATACCCATTCACCCTCACAACACAAGAAGACGAAAGCTTCCGTGACTTCAAAACCAAGTAATTAGTTGCAAGTGCCAGCAACAGAACCGCAACAACAACAAAGGAACGAAGTGAGCAGGCAGTCAGCCAGCCAGCAAAGCATGAATGGTGAGAGGTTCTTCAACAACGCTATTCATTGACGAGACACATCGACGCCACAGCAAACACTTGATAACGATACGAGCAGAAATACAATACAGATAATGTAGCAACACCCCGGACACGACACCAGTACAATGTCTTTGATAGGTCACACACAGACAGTACACTGTATGTACATGCCATCCAGGCATGTTACTTTGCACTTTCCCAGCCCAGCGCTAGCCGTTTTAGAAGCTCATGTACAGTGATCATGGTGATGTGTGCATTCAGCTGCACTCAAAAGTGAAAATCATGACGGGACTCAGTCTGCATAGGAAAGTACTGACCCCTGACATTTTTGGCTGCTTTTCGGACGTACCTTTTTCGGACCGGTTTTCGGAAGAGCTTTTTTAAAAATCGAACACTGGCCGAAAAATCGGACGGTTTGGCAGCACTGGATGTCTTCAAGATGATGAACATTCGATAAATTGGCCAAATTTCGTTCCATCCAAAATGATGAACATTCGATAAATTGGCCAAATTTCGTTCCGTCCAAATTCGTTGTTTCTTCATGCATCCAACAAAATCAGCGAGTCGTAAAACAACTCACAACTGACAATATTCATTAGTTTGAGGTTATGAAAAGGGAAAACTTCAAACAGTAGGTAGTGCTATAAGGCTTATGCCGGTTAGGACAAGTTGTACAGATCCACGAAATCCCGTGGACCCGGTTGGGTGTTGAATGTGACCCTATTGTGCTTTCTGCTATTTCCACTAAGAAATGGGCCCTGAAGGAATTTCATACAAAATCCTTTTTCTTACAAAGATCTAGCTAGTCATTAGTTCTAACCAAAGTGAAAAAGCTGGAAAAGCGATTGCTTGCCAATAAATTATGAGGCTAAGAGGTCAAATGCACATGCATAGCACACAATGAACACGCAACCGGGTCTACGGGATTTCGTGGATCTGTACAATTAGTACTAACCTGCATAAGGTCTATTGGACCAATATGATGGGATGAGTCAAAATTTGCTTTCCAAAAGTACATTGAACCTAGGCATTTCCCAAATCGGCCCATTTCTTTCGCCTAATCGGCTTTTCGATCGGCTAAGGGAATGTCCAAATTCGGCCATATTATGAGCCCCAAAGTCAGAATTCGACTCAAAGCAGTACTTGAATTCACCACTCGTAATACAGTGTACATTTACATGCACGCTTTAGAGGCACTAAAACATCGATTTTCGGTGAATTCAGTGCAAAATTTGCAAATTCGGCGCAACTATCGGCCATTTCTTCAGTCATTGATTTCGTCGTCTTTTCCTGCATACTGCTGAGGCACAAAACATCGATTTTCGGCGAATTCAGTGCGAAAAATGCATATTCGGCCAAAAGATCAG